GCCCCCCGAAATGGGGGGAAAAATGGGGAAATATCCCCCCCCTAGGTGCGAGGGATACGGGAGCCCAATTCCCCCCCACGAAACCGATTTTTGGGGGGGGCCCCCTTTCCCTCCTTAAGGGGGGGTGTTTTTTAACGCTCCAGGAACAAGAGGGCCCTTTGGCGGGTTTTTTTGAGGGGCCGGCCCCCCAAACCTTTTTCGGGGGCCTTTTCCCTTTCCACCCGGGGGTGTGCGGGGGCCCCTTTGGGGGGGCCCCGCGAAAAAACCCCGTCCCCATTTCCGGGGGGGGGGAATTAAGTTTTTTCAAAACCCCCCACCGGGGCATTTGCCAAAACCACCCCCCCCCCCCCTTTGCTTTTGCTAGCGCTTTTTTTAGCCCTCGGGACCTTTTTCCTTAGCCGCTGCCCCCCCCCCCACCCCCCCTGCCTCTCGCACCACCACTCCACGCCGCCCCTCCCTGCCTCTCGCACCACCTCTCCGCGCCTCTCCTCAGCGCGGGCGACGCTTGTGACTCTCCTCACACTCCGCGCCTCTCCTCAGCGCCGGCGACGGCGTCGCCTTCGGCGCAGCCAGCTCCGAGGCGGGCGGGAGGCTCTGGGGCGTGAAGAGCGAGGATGCGTCCGCCGCGGAGGGCGGCGAGGCTGTGACGCTCGAGCTGGAGGACGCATCCAAGCTGGCCGGCGTCCGGGTGGGCGACCTGGTGTGGCGCACGCAGCACGGGGCGCTGCAGCGCCAGCTCAAAGGGCTGCTTTCCGACCCCACCGCCGGGCGCGCCCTCGTCGACGTCGCGCTGGACGGCGAGATCGGCGAGCCGCTCAACGTCACGGTGACCGACGGGCGAGGCCGCTCAGCGTCGTGCGTGACGGAGGCCGTGTTGCAGCGTGCGACCGGGACGCCGCTGTCGGAGCAGAGCCTGCGCAAGGCGGTGGGGCAGCTTGGAGGCACGCCGTTGGTGGTGAGGCATGTGGACGTCGGCGGCGCCGTCGCCAGCGGCGGCGCTTGGCTCCCACTCTCAGCGGTCAAGGAGGCGCGTCGCAACGCAGTGGAGCGCCTCGTCGAGGCGCGGTCCGCGCAGCGCGTGCTCGCTCGCAAGCTGTCGCCGGCGCGGCGCGCGGCGCGCGAGAGAGAGGAGGCGCGGAGGCGCACGGCGGCGGGGGAGGCTGCGTTGCGCGACGGCGACGGCGACGGCGACGGCGACGGCGACGGCGACGGCGGCGGCCGCAGCACTAGGCCCCATTTGTCGGTGCTCTGTCGCACGCGGGAGCAGGTGGCTGCCGCCGCCGCGTGCGCTGCTGTCGATGAGATCGTCATCGATTTTCTCGAGCTCGACGGCATTCGCGAGGGGCTCGCGGCCGCGCGGCCAAAGGCGACGGTGGTTGCGGCGCCGAGGCGCGCTACCTTGTAGCACACCACACCACTGCGCGCCACCGCCGGCTACTGCAGTAGCCCGGGGGCACCTCACCCACCGCCACGCCACCGCTGCCGCAACCGCCACCGCTGCGCCGCCTCAGCGGTTGCTTCACCGCTGCGTAGGGTCATCAAGCCGCGCTCTCATCTCGGCCAATCTCGGCAGATCTCGGCTAATCTCGCTTGCGTAGGATCATCAAGCCGGCCGAAGAGGCCCTCTGGCGCGTGCTGCTGCAGCTCGACGGCGCCGACGCGATCCTGGTGCGTGGCGCGGGGCTGCTGTCGAGGCTGGCGGAGCTGGCGGAGGAGGAGGGCGCGACGCTTCCTCGGATCCACGGCGACACTTTCGCCGCCTTCCCTCCCCCCTCTCGCCTCCACCGCAGCCCCGCTCTCCCACCCACCATCCCAAACCCCACCCCTCCACCCTCCCTCCACGCACAACACAGGCGACTTTTCGCTCAACGTCGCAAACGCGGCGGCGGCGCAGGCGCGCCCCTCGACATCTCCCACTGTCGGCGGGCCGAGGAGCCGTCCCCGAACCTTCTCGGAACGGTCCCAGGCCTCAGTGAGGCAGTCCGAATCACAGACACACAGTGGGGCGGAGGCCCGGAGCCTAACCCCCCGCCGGAGCTAGAGGACTGCTACGCTCACTGTCACTCTGTGAGCTGGGGAACGGTCCCAGGCGTACCTCGAGCTGGGCGTCGCGCGCTTGGCGCCGACCTTCGACCTCGACGCGGACCAGCTGTGCGCCCTCGTCTCGGCGCTGCCGCCGTCGCTGCGCTCTCGCATCGAGGTGATCGTCACGCGCATCTCGGCCCATCTCGGCTCTCTCCGCCCATCTCGCCTCATCTCGCCTCATCTCGGTTGATCTCGCGTGAGGTGATAATCCACGCGCACGTGCCCATCTTCCACACGGAGCACTGCGTGTTTGCGCGCACCCTCTCCACGGGCAACTCGTACAAGGACTGCGGCCACCCTTGCACGCGCCACTCGCTCCACCTCGTAGACGGGCGGCAGCAGCGCCACCACGTGCGCCCTCTCCGGCGGCTCGGGCTGCCGCGAGGCTGTGAACGGCGTCTCTCCACACGCGGTGCGGCGTGAGCAGGTGCTTGCCGACTCGGGCTGCCGCAACACCGTCTTCAACTCGCAGCCGCAAAGCGCAGCGCCGTACCTGGCGCAGCTGCGCGAGGCGGGCGTGCGGAACATGCGCGTCGGGCTCGCCGGCCCGCGTGGGGAAGGGACGGCGCCGCCTCTCTTCACACCCTCCGGCCGTGAGCAGGCGCGTTGAGCTCACCGACCAGCCCGCAGAGGTCGTCGGCCCGCTGCTGGAGCGATACGCCGCGCTCGCGAAAGGCGGCGGCGGGGCGCGGGGCGGCGGGGCGCGGGGCGGGGCCGAGGAGGCGTTCGAGTGGATGGACGAGCACCTGGTCGACTCGACCGGGCACAGGCCGGGCGTGACGGCGGGATCCTTTCGGCCGTCGGCCGAGCGCGCGTGGGCGTCGTTGCGGCCCACTGCGGCGGAGGAGCGGGCGAACGCGGCCGGACGTTGAGAGCAGGGGCGTGTACGTTTCTCAGAGTTCTTGCAGAACAGTCATTAGTAAGTAAGGGTGGACGCAGGACGAGCGCGGAGCGGTGACGGCAAACACACGGATGAAAAAAGAAATTTTCTTTTCAGTCCGACCGTACGCGGTACCCTGGTACTTGTTCGGGAGGAAAACTCACGAGCTCGCGTGACGCCCGGCCTCGCGGCGTGCCGGGCGCCTGCAACGGTGGGCTTCTGTCGACATGATCATCATCTGGCTTGGAGCGATCCTCGAGATCGGAATTGCCGCACAGACCTGCACAGGAGGGTGCACTGACGAACGCAATGGTTACATGGTCCGGAACGACTTGAAATGCGACCACTATCCCTTTGCGTACACGAAGCTCTGCAAGCACAACGCCAACTGGGCGAAGCAGAAGTTCTGCCAACGCTCGTGCTTTGAGAACGGGGCGGGCTAGCTGCACGGCCGGGCCAGTCCAGTACCGCGTGACGCTGACGCCGGGCGAGGTGGGGGACCGGCGCTGCTCAACGGCGAGCTGCGACTACTATTGCAGCATCAGCATCCGAGTGCGGTCGGTGCTCAAGGGGCTCAACTGGCTGTCGAGCGGCAAGTCGCGTGGGGCGGGCAAGTGCAGGCAGCAGTCCAGGTCGGTGCCCTGCAGCGCGTGCGCGGGGGGGAGGAGGCTCGACGAGGGCACGGAAGCTTAGTCTGACAACGGCCGCTCACTGCGTGGGGGGGGGGGGGGGGTGAATGACAGAGGTGCCGAAAAGTTTCCACTAAGAAGAAGCTCTTGGTTCCTTGCACCTTGGAGGCCGCGCGCGCTTTTTATTTTTGAGAGCGCCTTCGTTGTTAATAGTTCAAACCCAATGGTCCCTTGCGAGCGGTCCTTCGTTGCAGTCGCACACACGCACACGCCACGCCGCACCGCGCGCCCGCCCACTGCCCCGCCCAGGCGGGAAAGGGATGAGGTGAGTGCGGCTTAATTGTAGACCTGTGTGACAAAAAAACGCGAAGGCGCTCTCACGCCTAGCGCTAGGTCTAAGAGAGCTGCTCGTGGCGCCCTACAACCTCTTTGCGCCGATGGCGATTCCGCTCTTCTCAATGGCAGAGCATCGACAGGTGTGTGGCTTCGCACGCGCGTGCCTCGCCTCTGGTTCACTCTCACCCCTCGCTTTCCCGGGACAGGTGAGCCTGAGGCACATCCTGCGTGACTTGGGTGCGATACCAGTGAAGCGGACCTCCGAGCTGGGCTCGCGCATCTCGATCAGAGATGCGGCGGCCCGCTTGGGCAAATCAGCCAGCCGCAAATCTGGAGGCCTCGTGAGCCGCTTCCGAGAGCGCCCTGACGGCGAGGAGAGTCGAGTCGACGTCACTGCCTCGGGTGGAGCTGTGTGATGTAAAAAACAAGCGCGAAGCATTTGTTTGGGGGGAGGGGGGGGGGGGGATGCAGTCGTTTGAAGAACAGTCAGGCTCGGACTGGACACCAACGCGGTATGGAGAAAAGAAGAAAGTCAAAGCGCGTTTTTCTTTTTCGCTACCCCCCCGGCCGGGTGTACTGTGCTGCATGAATGGTTGGGCAGGTGTGAACAACACCTCGTGACCACGGTGCCACAGGCGCCTGTTGATGGGTCCAGGTGATAGCCCTGAATGGGCAATGCATACGCCTAGTTGGGCCTCAGATCGCCCGACCGCGTCCCGGTGGCCGGTGCTCTGTGGTCGGATTTGTGACGCCGCCGCACCGCGCCGCGGCCGGGGGCCCTCTCAGTGGGTGTACACGGCGCGGCTTTACACTGTGTTTCTGTACGTACCGCACGCGTATCGCGCTTTATCGTCTTGCTAAGGTGTAGAACACGCGCGGCGACAGAGCACCTGCATAACACACAGACTGATCACAGACACGCCACATTGCTCATTGGCCATGCAAAACGATGCGAGCGTTCACAGATCACACCGCACACCGCAGCTCACCGGACGACGGAAGGGCGCGGGGATGTGTGCGGGGTACATGGGCGCACGACGTACGGAAAGGAAGTGTGGCAGGGGGGAGGTGGAGAAGTGTGGCAAGGGCATGCGCGAGGGCGTGGGGAGGGGCGGGACAAGTGGCCAAGTGTGGGGCAAGTGTACAAAAGGATTTGGGCAGCCGGCGTGCCAGAGGCCCAGAGCTCAGCGGCCAGGGGCGCGGTGCGCAGCGAAGAGGGAGCCCTGGAGGTCGTCGAGGGTCGAGCAGGGCGAGAGCGACGCCTGCAGACGAGACGGCGGGCTCTCCTCGAGCAGTGTCCACGTCCAAATCCGGCGACCTCGGGCGACCTCGGGCGACCTCGGGCGATCTCGGGCGATCTCGGACGATCTCGGGCGATCTCGGGCGATCTCGGGCGATCTCGGCGCCTTCGAGAGGTCGAACCCCTTGAAGAGATCCAGCTCCTCTTCATCACCGCCGCCTCCGCCGCCGCCGCCGCCCGCGGTGCCGCAGCGCCCGCTGATGGGCCTGCTCGGTGTGGCTGCGATCTGCACCGCTCCGTGCTGCACGGATGCGTGGTGCCCTGCTGCATGCTGCGCTGCTGCGTGCTGCACGGCTGCGTGCTGCACGCTGCGTGGCTGCGCGCGACGCGCCTCGAGGCTCTCTCGGAGCGCGGCCGCCACCTCCTCCGCCTCCTCCGCCTCCACCGCCGCCTCCACCGCCGCCTCCGCCGCCTCCGCCGCCTCCGCCGCTGCTCCCGCCGCCGCCGCCGCCGCCGCCGCCGCCTCCGCTGCTGCCTCCTCCGCCGCTGCCGCCTCCTCCGCCTCCGCCGCCGCTGCCTCCGCCGCCGCCTTCTCCCCCGCCGCGACAGCGCCCGCGCGGCCCGGGATGTGCACGGGTAGTGCCTGAGGGGCGCAGCTTGGGGTGATCTCGGGGTGATCTCGGGGTGATCTCGGGGTGGCCTCCGGTGACCTCGGCGACCTCGGGTGATCTCGCGTGATCTCGTGCGACCTCGTGCGACCTCGGGTGACCTCGCGTGATCTCGGCACGGGCAGCGGCGCATGAGGGGCGCGGCTCGGCGCGCGCAGGCGCGGCAGCAGCAAGGACACGTCTTGCGTGCTCGCGGTGCGGAAGCAGTAGTCGGCGT